GCACATGATCATCTCTGAGTACCAGCATCATAATTATCTGCCTCACCCCATCACATTCAAATTCTGCTCCACATACTCCTCCCTATCACAGGTGTCCTTCTTTTCTCTCCTTCCCCTCCTAACACTGTCTTTCTTATCCTTCCCATCCTTCTAATGTACTGTCTCTCCTCTTAACCTTTAGTATCATGTACCTGTCACTCCTTTCATTTTTACTTCTTTCTTTTTGGTGAATTTGACCTTTGAACTCAGCGACGCCAGACATAAAGTTTACCGCGTAAGAAGAGTACAACAGTGGAATTGCTTTCTAGACGTATGAATTCAGAGGTCAAATTCACGAGTTTCAACAAACGTCTACAGGAAGTTTACACAGAAGGGACGTTACATTAACTTCACCTCGCACCATCCAAAGTCCTCTAAACGCACCATTGACATAATTATGGGAAGGGAGCTGATAGGTCGTCTTGGCCAAGACTGCATTTGCCTGCAAAATAGCAGGCCATGCATTCTCCTTTGTCTGCCCCTGGCTGTGTACTCACGTCCATCGGGATCACGTAATGTCGGAACAGATTGACTGCGCCCATTGCCAGAGGCACACTTGACGGTGTGCCACCAGTCACTGGGTGGCAGCTGCTTTGAGGTCATTTTCTGTCTCAGTTTCGCCATGAAGGCACTCTTCGCAGTTTTGAGACAGGCAACCGTTGAAAGCCTAGCATCTTGGTAAGCTGACTGCCAATCGCCATCAGACGGGTCATCTCTCAGGCATCTCCATGCACGTCATTTCCTCACTGTGGCAACAGTGCACTCAGGGTTCCACCATGGAGGATCTAATGCACAGGTTTTCAGGGTTTTAGAGGGGATGAATCTCTTCAATCCCTCCAGAATCCTCTCTGAGATGCCAGTGCATGACAGGTCTGGATCAGTCCGAGCAATAGCTGTCCAATTTGTGGTTCTGAGGATGTGACGGAGCCTGGCCCAATCAGCATGCTGATACCTCCATACAGTTCTTGATATGGGAGGCTCGCGTGATGCACGGATCTGGAAGTTTGCAAGAAGACAGGCATGGTCAGATTTGTCAATAGGTGGCAAGACAGAAACCAATGATTCTATGGGTAGGTCGGACATTATCTGGTCCAGTGTGTTGCAGCCGTGCGGTGGTTGGTGGACTAGCTGTTCAACACCTTGCATGTAGCACATGTCCTCTGCATGCTCGACACCTCTAGGTGTTCTGCTACGGTGGAGCCACTCTTGGTTATGTACATCGAAGTCCTAGCAACTATCACAGCAGAGTTGAGGCAAAAATGGCACAAAACTGACTAGGAGTACTGAGACATTCGGCGACCTGACTCCTAGCTCCAACACTTCTCCGAGGCGCACAAACCAACAACCTCCCAACTTGGAAGGCTCAGGTTCGCAAAGGTCCAAGAGGGGAAGGAAAGTGCAACGAAAAAGAGCACGAGCTACGCGCCACGGCAACAAAGAATGCCAAAAGTTACTGGATGATGACGAAACTAGTACTTCATAAGACTATTGGACATACCGGCCTTACTACAACTCGACGACGCAACAAACCACCCAACTTGGGAGGCTCAAGTTTATGTAGTAAACAAACAAAGGGGAAGCTACGCGAAGACGAATTGTGACAAACCGAAACGTCAACATTTTACTGAACTTCACTACTCTGTATCATGTAAATATAATAGACTAGTTATGTGCAATAACAAGTTGTTCCACATGACGCACGTTTTGCCGTATAGGTCATGGCGGCTCATAAGGTGTGCAAAGTTGAGCTCGTATTGTGAGCCAATAAAATTATGGTGAAAATGGAGAAGGACAAATGTTACGAGTTATGACTAACTGTCCATCAACGTAACCAGATCTTATCCAGTCAGCGAGTGCGACAAAATGGTGGTTGATGGACAGTTAGTCATACCTCGTAACATTTTGTCCTTCTCCTTTTTCACCGAAATTTAACTGGCTCTCCATCCGAGTTCATAGTTCATTGTAATTGCTCTTGTTTGCTCTTCCTTGTATATCACCTGAGGAGCAGGTACAGAAGTTTACTCGCGAAACCATTAGTTTTCAGAATGTTGTTGAAGAGCTGGAGGTTTGTCCTGTCAACTTTTTTCCTTAGCTTCATTAGCCTGGAAAACGATAATGAGTTCCTTGCGTCACCTCGAACGTGCTCGTAAGTCCAATGTCTTGAAGAGATCTGGTATATGTTTCCAAGTTGGCTATTCGAGGATCGCAGTATCTCGGCTTCCTCCGGAATCCTTCTCGAGTGCTGGACTCCAGGTGTCATTGTGTGATCTACAAGCGCTTTGTCCGCCCGTGCACAAACCACTCTGGCTCGCCTTATCCAACAGGGTGGCCATCGCCTAATCGGTGATGGACCGTACCTTTGCCTCCTGTACAATATGCATTGTCCAGATGCACATCGCCTTCTACAGAGGATGTTGCCACCCCAGCAGCCCCAATCCCAAACAGTCCACTCCACCCGTAGTACGTTTTGAAGATCCACCCACGCACACCAACTGGCAAATGAACTTCCAGTCCCTTCCCGAAACAACCTGTGTCGAGCCTACCCTCGCGCAATTTTCCCTGTCAGGAACCAGCTGCCCGCCGGAGTCTTCTCTGGTCCATTTTGCAGAATAACTAACAAAGTTTCAAGGTTGCAGCCAATCGCTGTTCGAAGACCAACGACTGATCGTGGGCACATGATCATCTCTGAGTATCAGCATCATATCTGCCTCACCCCATGATTTTCAAATTCCGCTCCACGTACTCCTCCCAATAACGTGTTTCCTTCTTTTCTCTCCTTCTCCTCCTTACTCTCTCTGTCTTATCTTCACCCGCCTTCTAAATGTACTGTCTCTCCTTTTGCTTGCTCATCATGCACAGTAGTAGTAGTAGTAGTAGTAGTAGTAGTAGTAGTAGTAGTAGTAGTAGAATTTTTTTTTTAATCCCTACAGACGTTGCCGTCTTTTTACAGGCAACCCTAGGTGCTCTTTGCAGAGCGAAATGAAAGCATGTAACCTGGTAACGTGTCAAAGCTGTGTGGACCCTGGCTAGTGGCTAGCGTCAAACCATACTGAACTAACGTCTGTTGCATAGCTACGGGATTAATATTTTATTTGGTATTTATTTTTTATTTTTTAACTTTTTTGTGTCACGCCTAGCCTTGTGCTATCCCGTATTTGTCCCGCACCGTACCGTACCATCAAAGACAGCTGCCCACAAACAGCTGGCCACAATATTTTTGGTTGTTTGTGCCATCAGCATGCCTGGCGCTATCCCGTACCTGTCTCGTTTCTGACGGTCACGGGCGTTCTGGAGTCGACGGGATGTCTGTCCTGACGTTTCCTGTGACCAGCGCTGACTCTGCCGATCACGGGCGTTCTGGAGTCGACGAGATGTCTGTCCTGTCGTTTCCTGTGATCGGCGCTGACTCTGCCGATCACGAATGTTCTAGAGTCGACGGGATCTCTCTTCCGACGTTTCCTGTGACCGGCGCTGACTCTGCCGATCACGGGCGTTCTGGAGTCGACGGGATCTCTTTTCCGACATTTCCTGTGACCGGCGCTGACTCGCCCGTTCAGGATTATTTTGGAGACAACGGGATCTCTCTTCCAAAGTATGATTTTGCTGACGCTTCCAGACACCTATTCGGCAACTAACGTTCATTCTAAATACATTATTTACTTGTCTTCCTACTTCGTATTTCTTTCCAGAAAATCTCCCCAAACAGCAGGGAGTCGTTTACATAATACGACTCCCTGCTATACATCTATAAGTTATAATTATTACGCTATCGGCCTACATGCGATTCCCGGGCTGGTCGACAGGCGGCCCAGCCAGCCTGCTAGTGGGATCTCGGCCTCGCACACAAATCCACACAAAATGTTACTGCACTGAATGCAATCCCCCGATACACTTCGCATATATACTCATTCTCTTAATGGTACCGTACTCTTGATGGTACGGGACAGGTACGGGATAGCGCCAGGCATGCCGATGGCACAAACAAACAAAAATATTGTGGCCAGCTGTCTTTGCTGGTACGGTACGGTACGGGACAGATACGGGATAGCGCCAGGCGTGACACAAACAAACAAACAAACAAACAAACACAAAATTAAAGCTGTGTGGAACCTGGCTAGCGCCAGACGTTACTGAAGTAACGTCTTCTGCATAGCTACGGGAATTAAAGCTGTGTGGACCCTGGCTAGCGCCAGACGTTACTGAAGTAACGTCTTCTGCATAGCTATTAGAATAATACAAAGCTCAACAAGAATTGATACGTAGTGATCAATAGGAAATACGTTCGATATCAAGAAAGAAATAGAGAGGGAGAGGGAGAGAGAGAGAGAGAGTGAGAGAGAGAGAGAGAGTGAGAGAGAGAAAGACATACTCACACTCACAAACAAGTACCCCTTGCTCACACAAATACGTCACATACACACACCTGCAGTTACATACATTTATGCAAAGTAAACGGCATGCTCTCATGCGCGCACACACGTGTGTGTGCTCAACATTCGTGGACATGCACGAGCACACACACTTACACACAACATGTGCCATGCCATGTTCATTACAAGTAGATTTTGCCTGTATTCACCTGATGATCAGGCATGAAAGTATACTAGTGAAAATTGTGTTCTTGCCTCCAAGGACATTGTTCATCAATTCCCAAAGAAATCTTCATTGACAATGATCCAGAACTCCCTATGCCATTGCCGGTGTTACCTTTACTCATTAGCTGTGTTTGTTTGTTCCTGTGTGTGTGTTTTTGCGCATGCATGGTTGTGTGCATGGTTGTGTATTTTATTGTGTGTGTGTGTGTGTGTGTCTATGTGTGCATGCGTATGTGTGTGTGTGTGTGTTCATGCATATGCGTATTTTTATGTGTTTGTGAATCGTCATGTGTATGTGTGTATTTGTGTATGTTTATGTGTGTTTGTGTGTACTTGGTTTGTATTCATTAACAATACTACTTCTAGGATGGTAACACACCATTACACTATGCAGCATGTCATGTTTCCGTAGCAGAACATCTACTTAATTCTGGACATTCGTTGGACCCAAAGGATAATGTAAGTCAGGATATCCCTGGTGCATCCTTGTTAGTGTATGAACAGAAAAGTCAGATTATATGGGTGTACATAGTGAGGTCCAGTGCATGTGTATCAGGTCTCATGTTCATCTGTTGTACGCACAATAATACATGCACAATTGGAAAACATTTTCCAAGGAGAACAACAGTTTTCACTATCTTCAACAGCCTAGACAACACTATTGAGTACCTTGGGTCACCTCAAAAATACTTATAAGTCCAGTGTCTTGATGAGATTTGGTGTATGTTTTCATGTGAAATCGCACCGAACACAATTATGGTTCTGTAAAGCAACCGGCTATTAGATTGGAATTCTTTGGCCCTTTGTACACCTGCATAATGTTACACTTCCAGTGGCAGGTAAGATAGTTGAACAGCACAATCAGTCATGTCTTTGTGCGTTACCCGTACAATACTGGTGGTTTGTGTAAATCTGCATGAAGCAGTCTCATCCAAACTTGGTTGGTTGAATTTCCAGTGGCGTACTTTCTTGTCCTGAACAAAACCAATCTACCAAGCCACATTGGGAGAACACTCGGGTATGCCAATGTAGCACCAGTTTTTTGTTCATTCCAGGCATCCGTGCTGTGCTTCGGAATTGCCTGCCGTTGGCAGCAGAGGATTGGGCGTATTTTGGAGGCTTCTTTTATATTACTTCCTCCGTTAAGTAAAGCTTCTTTGCGTTTTACAGTTCAGTCCAAATCATTCTATGGCTACGAACACGCTTTGCAAAGTGGAAAAAAGCAGCATATGAAAGATATATAATTACAGATGAAACACAGCTCGTTTCAAAGCCGTCCAGTTTCACTCTTCGATGACGACTTACACTCACTGATGACATCGAGTCTGGAGCCTCACTGACTTTCACCTCCAGCGCTGCCAGCTTTTGTACCGCAGCATTTACAAATTGCCAAGACACGATTTGATCGTGGAGATCGCCAAGTTCTTCGCTCGAACTGTGAGCTTGATGACCTCCACGGTGGCGCTGGTAGTTGTGGCCACTCTCCGGAACGCCATGGAAGGAGCCATACAGACGCAAACAAACGCTCCCCATCTTCGCAGGGGTGTATTCGTGCCAGAACGTTTCCACACCCTGCAGAAGCTCCTTTTAGGTTTCCTTAGCCACGAGTGATACGGCTGTCTACAGGCTGTGGAAGAACGCCAAGTCGTCGAGGTTGAGATCAGGATTTTGCGCCGACTGCATGACAACATGAATGTCGAACATTTTTGATTTCCCCTGCGCTGCAAACAAAAGTGCATTGATTTTGGTTGTGTGCGGATGCGCACCATCGACTCGTGCTAGTACAGCAGTGCCTGAGCGCTGGCCGGCTCCTGGATACTTCTTCGAGCCAGCGGTATTTCAAACTGTTTCTCACTTTCGTACTTTGGTGTCATGCGCGCACGCCAGGGGTTGTGTTCTGGTGACATCCTGTCGAGAAACGGTTCTGCTTCGCCGATTTTTTCAAAGGACTCCACGCTTTTTGGAGGTTCAAAAGCCTGTCAGAACAATGGACGACAACTCGGCTACCCTATGTAGGGGATAGATCACTGACATGTATGTCTAATACCGACAGAAATATCATGACAAGAACACTAAAAACGCAACGAAGCTTAGCGGAGGTAGTAAGTTCTTACCCTATCCCTAATGCATTCGAGCTTATCACAGACAATAACGACCTTTTGGGGAGATAGTATGCTGCTTTGAGTAACTTGTATTGCCATGCAAATGTTCAACAAGCTTGAAAGCAACGCCACACTGCTGCCTGGAACTAGCTCGGGAATCCCCGCAATACACTTACAATAGTTGTGAAGTGAAATACCAATGGACAGCAGCTGTCTTATGAGGAGCCATAGCTGACTTGTAATGAGCGGGAACAAGTGAAGCCAATGCCGGTTAGAAAGAGCAGAGCTAAACTTCCCAATCTACCGTATGGAAGACGATTTTATTAGAGAAATGGAGTGTAAAACCTAGCATGAAAAAAAAAGAAGTAAATTATCGTATCCGTTCCCGAAGGGAACTCACGACGGCCGCTAACACCCGATAAACCCTAGCGGCAGATGCAGCGCCTAACGGTGGGGGTGAGTGGATAAGTCTCACAACCACTGGCACAAGTGCCGAGAACGACCCTATTAGCTGCATCCATGTACCCCTTGTGCCTGGCCACAAGTTCCCAGTTGACTGTGGGTAGCAGCACGGCTGGAAAAACCGCTCCCAGGCAGGACTTGAACCAGGTACCTCTCGTATCTCAATCATGGTCTTTGACCAACCCACTGTGCCTGCCTGGTCTAGAAGCAAACAAATATGTTGACGTTGCATGGATGGCACCACAAAAAAGAAAGTGAAAGTAAGCAGTCATGCACATACAAGAACAATGTCATTATGGTTGGTGTTGTTGTCAACTACCCTGTCTACACTGGCCAACATGCAACACTCACTGCCCACTCGACATTGGACTAGTTACTTGGTTTTGCACAAGAAGAAATAAAACTTTTAAAAAATTAAAAAAATTAACGGTTTGCGCCTGCATCTTCGCAGCTGCATCTGCGCCTTGATCCTTGAAGCGTGGTGGCGTTCTTACGGATGCGGAAAACTCGGCCTCTATATATAAAACTAAAAGAGCTAGAGAAAAAGGATAAAGGCTTGCGAACCAACATGACACGGACACAATGGCGACCTACATCATCAGGTGCACGCACAATAATACTGGGAAAGGAAGAACGTCACGACCACAGCGCGAATTAATAATACAAAGCCTAACAATAATTGGTACGTAGTGATCAACAGTAAATGTGTTTGATATAAAGAAAGGAATAGACAGAGAGATAGAGATAGATAGATAGAGAGAGAGAGAGATAGATAGATGAGGTGGCGTCGACAGTTACTTAGTCGATCTATTACAACTTTCCCTCCAAACGCCAATACTCCAGAACAATATCATTGGTACTGAGTCACTGCCTCCGCCGTCCAATTGCAGGCCCCAGGCTCCACTATCACTAGTGTCACTCTCACTGTCACTCTCGGCAGGGCTCGGCTGAGCGTTGTGGACATCCGCAGTGTCTGGTAATACAGGAGCTGAGTCTAGCTTCATAAGGTCAATGTTGACCACTTACTCTGCATCATTGGCATGTCTGATCACAATGGTTGATGGTGACATCATCTTCTCCACCTTCCAGGCACGTACGCAGGGTAACCTCTAAAGGGTTGTCAGCCGAATCACAACCAATAAGTTTTAAAAATCTCAGTTGAGGCGTAGCATTAACTGTAGTTAACACGCACGTAACGATCTCTCAGCGCGTGTTAACTGTAGTTAACACGCACGTAACGCTCTCTCAGCGCGTGGCCGCCTGCGTTTACTGCACATAGCACTCCACATTTACCCGTAGCTACTTCACACTGCATTCCACATCTACCCGTAGCGCTGTCGTTGAGCTGCTTTCCCGGTTGATGCGGTTGATGCAATCCGAATTGATGCAATCCGAATTCGGACACCACGCGGAGTTCTCTGAGACCCCCGCCGTGGCTGCGCGACAAAATGTCGAGGACAGGGACACCCACGAACCTACTATACCTGTCGCTCCCGTGTCCGCCGCAATCGCGACCGCCATGAAACCCTTTATGGAGCGACTGGACCGTCTGGAGGTGCAGCGCAAACAGCAACCTCAGCCTTAGGTACGTCCACTTTGCATTCGTCTAGTGTTTCCTGCGCCGTGCTGCATGATGAAGGGCCTGTAAAAATCAAGCGCACCCCAGAGCGTGATCGACAAAATCATTACGCACCATTTTGTTGACTTACAACAACTGTTGCCACTGACCGCCACGGACGTGCCAAGCCCCCACGCTCTGGTGTTGGGCGAGGAGGCACCCGGAAAATTCACGCTGTCCTCCCAGCCACGCATGTCCCGGCGCATTTCGGACATCGAAAATTGGCTTGAAGCATGGACGATATTCGCAGCCGTCTATCTAGATGCGCATCCGGGGAGAGCAGTAGAACTGTTGGCGTATCAGCACCATATTCTGAACGCCAGCAAGAAATACACGTTTTCCGCAGTTGCGGAGTATGACTGCACCTTCCGCCACAGCATCAAGTCCCAGCCGTCACGCCATTGGGACACAACACCACAAACACTGTACACTGCCGTGTTTGATGCCTGTGCTGTGCGGCCCTTTTGGCCCAGCTCCGCGGCAGCCCCCGGCGCCGCACGCTCGTCAACCGAGCGGTGTCGACTCTACAACCGGGGCTTGTGTTGTTGAAACCCCTGTTTGTACGCTCACCAATGCAGCAGCTGCAACGTCTCCGGACACGGCGCACAAGAGTGTCGCACAGAGCAACCAGCCAGCAGGCGTTCCGTTGAGCCAACAGTCGCACTGGACGCCCGTTCACTTGGATCGGCTTGAGTCGGCTCTGGCCAGGCACCCTGACCGCGCATTCATTAACTCCCTTATGCATGACATGTCCTCTCCATTTTTGTTCAACAGGCTCGCCGATGCCCTTTGCTGGGTAGCCACAAATAGATTCAATGTGCATGACCTGCTGCACTACCTCAATGATTTCCTCACAGTTCAACCTCCACAGCCGCCAAACTATGCTCGTCAGCAGTTTCACACGTTACTCGCAGTCATGGAGCACCTGCATGTCCCGTTAGCCGAGGGCCCTGACAACTTGTGCCCGCCGTCCACAATTGTCACATTTTTGGGCATAGAGTTAGATTCCCAAGCATGGGAGATGCGGCTGACAGCCTCAAGGCTGTCGGATCTAAAGAGCACCCTTGACTCCTGGGTACACCGAGTACAGTGCACCAAACGGGAATTGCTCTCGTTGGCAGGCTCTTTGTCATTTGTCGCCAAAATAGTACAGCCCGGGTGCACTTTCTGCCGCCGGCTCTTCGACGAGGCCAGCCAGTTCACGTCCCTTGACAGTACCCAGCGCCTGATCCAAGAGGCTCCAAACGATATAATCCCGGTGGCACGCTTGCATTGAGTCATGGAACGCCCAGTCACTACTGCTAGACCCATCCTGGTGCAAACAGATCGAGATGTTCACGCATGCTTCTGACCATGGGTTTGGCTTGGTCTGTGGCAAAGAATGGGCGTATGGCCAGTGGGAGGCACTCCACAAGGATCTGTCCATAGAATGGCGCCCTTATCTGTGTGACGCTAGGCAAATGACTGTGCAAGCGTCGACTATTAGTTCCATGTGACAACGAAGCGGTCTGCACAATCTGGCGCACAGGAATGTCTAGGTGCCCAGAGATCATGACACTTGTCAGGATTGCGTTGTTAGCGGCTGCCAAGCATAACATGGTTGTGTTTTTAGCACACATACGTGGTGTTGACAACGTTCTTGCTGACCGTTTGTCCCGCCTGCAGATCGAGAGCTTCCGGAAGCTACATCCCCAGGCGTCTCCTGTCCCCATGTCGCTAGAAGTCCGGCAGCTGACACGCCTTCTGACCGCACCATGGGCCTTATCCTTGCGGGAGTGGCAACAAGAACCGCCCGGTCGTATGCTGCCGGTGTGACAGCATACGAGAGATTACGCCAGCCTGCACCGTGTCGCGCCATACCCCATTCAGGCCAACCACCTACTGGATATCCTAGCGTACCGTAAAGTCTTGTATAAAAGCCGCACTTGAATAGAAGCCGCTCTCGAATAGAAGCCGCGATTTTGGGCCCATCAAATCACACATAAGCCTGGTTTTAGTGTTGACATACATAGAAATACCTGTCTTGTATAGAAGCCTGTCTGATATAGAAGCCTGCAAAATTTCACCAAGAAGGTCATAGAAGCCGCGGCTTTTATACAAGACTTTACCATACATGTCATCCAAGTGCCGGCTGGCAACTATCAAGGTCTACCTCCATGTCCTCTGGCATTACAAAATCGTCAACCACCTGTCGTTGTCCCCGTTCCAGGACGGGCGACTCGACCTGCTGCTCCAGGGTATCGCCCGCAACCAGTGCACGAGCAGACAGGTGCAGGAACGCCGTGCTGTCCCGCTGCAACACCTCCGTGCAATCCAGGGCTTCCTGCCGCACTCCTGTCTATCACCGGTCGACCAAGCCATGCTCTTGAGCGCTATCACACTCACCTACTACACGTTCCTGCGAGTCATTGAGTTCGCCTCTACCGACCCACAGAAGATGTTGACGTGGGAACGCGTCTGCATCCGGGAGAACGCAGTGAGGCTGGCTGTGTCATTCTCCAAAACAATGCAACTGGGAGAGGGCAGCGATGTGACGGTCGGCGCCACCAACAAGAACACCTGCCCGGTAGCCGCATTAGGGAAGTACGCACAGCTGCGCCCCCAAGTGGCGGGAGCGTATTTCCGCTACCAGTCTCGCCAGCCGCTTCACCCCTCGGACATGAACGACTTACTCCGCCGAGCTCTCCCTGGTCAGAAGATCGCCAGCCATAGCCTGCGTATCGGTGCAGCCACTGCCGCCGGAAGGAATGGCCTGCCACCTTACGTCATCCAAAGGGCCGGCCGATCGCGGAGCAACGCTGACCTCTGATACATCCATCTGTCAGAATCGGACATGGAGCCAGTCGCGAAGGCACTGGTGACAGCGCGAGTTCATGCACCGCCTTCTTAGCACTATCAGCTGCCTGAGTGACGGCACTGCCCTCTTGACACTATCTGCCGTATGAGTGACAGCACTTTCCCCTAACACTACTCGCTATAGGTCGTGGTGACCACACTGCCCCCATTAGCACTGCTGGCAGCAGGAGCGTCTGCACTGCCCTCCTAGCACTCCTCTCTGTACGAGTGCTCTTGCTCTCCCATGCTGCTCCCTGCATAGTTGATGGCACCTGCCCTCTTGGAACTAACTGCTGTAGACTCAAAGTTATGTCCTTGAACATCGCTGTACACTTTCATGTAGTTTCCATGTTAAGGTCAGCTAGATTGGGGCTCACGCCTCCCCCAGCAATTTCATATTTGGGTGGCATTCACATGGAGTGGGTGGCTGCAAAGCACCCCGTAAGCCTTTGAGCTGACACCTAACTCTAGGTTGCCAGCCCCTCTGCATTCGTCCTACCATGCAGATGTCCGGGTGTAAGCGTAACCCCGTTAGCAGCCTACTTACACATCTGTCCTACCATGTGGAAGTGCGGTGTAAGCCTAACCTTGTTAGCGGTCCCCTCCACATTCGTCCTATCATGTGGTGGCCTGGGTGTAAGCCTAACCCCATTTCAATCTGTGAATCCCAGTCTAGCCTAAACCTTGTCTTCAATATTGTGTGTGCAATGGGATGTTAACCCTTGTTTAAAGAGCCACAGGTAGCCCTTGGCAGATCATGGGGCCATAATTTCTGGCATAATCTTCGGATTTTGCCTAAAAATGATGCCCTGCCATAAAAGGACTTCTGAGACCAGACAGTTAACATAACCTTAAAATGCTGGCCGAAGATTTATTGCTCCATGGATATTTAGGCATGTTAAAGGAAATAACCTGATGAAACTAGGCCGGCAGTGAAAGGGTTAATGGGGTGTTGCCCACGCTCATTTCCAGCTACTCACGGCCGTCCCTCGGCCGCAGACTCTTGTAGAAGCTTGGCTCCGCCAACATTCTGCTCTGGCAGTGTCTACCCGGCCAACCCTGAATCCTCTCTCGTACATACTTGGCTCCGCCAACATTCTGCTTCGGCCGTGTCTACTTATTTCTCTCCGTAGCACTCCCCGTACCGCAAGTTGCTGCGTGTTGTAGTTAATGTGTGTGTATGTGTTTATGTGTGTGTGTGTGTGTGTGTGTGTGTGTGTGTGTGTGTGTGTGTGTGTGCATGCATGCATGAGTGTGTGTGTGTGTGTGTGTGTGCGCGCATGCATGTGTGCGTGTGCATCAACATGTGTATGGCTGTGGGTATGTGTGAACATGTCTTGTCTTTAATTTGCTGCTACTTCCAGGGTGGTGACACACCATTACATGATGCAGCACGGAGAGGTCATGTTTCCGTAGTAGAATGTCTTCTCACTTCTGGACATTCGTTGGAACCAAAGAATAATGTAAGTCAGATTATCCCTGATGCATGTTCGTTTTTCGGAGAGGTCATGTTTCCGTAGTAGAATGTCTTCTCAACTATTCTGCTTTGACCCGGTTTTATCACTACTTTGCTGGACATAATTCATTGTGAAAATGGAGAAGGACAAAATGTTCCGAGTTATGACTAACTAACTGTCCGCCAACATAACCAGACCTTATACAGTCAGCGAGTGTGAAATTTTTTTTATTATTTACAATGAACACAGCTCACAGGCAAAGACAAAAATTGCATAGTGGGCTTGCACACGGTCGAGTCTTGCAAGATGGGATCGGGCTTCTTACATCCAGATGATGGGGCAGTACTCCATCACTGGGCGCACAAAGGCATTGTAGGCTTGGATACGACCGGGCGCGTCAAAAAGGTGGAAAGCCTAGCACAAAGCGCCAAGTCGTTGTGTTGCCGGGAGGGCTACAGTACAAAGGTGGCGTCGGAAGGTAAGCTGACCATCAAAACTGACGCCCAAGATTTTGAGCTCCTCTTGTTCCCTCAGGTTAGATCCGTTGAAATCAATCTGTGGCATGTTCCATTGGGTGCGGTGGAAGCTGACAATCAGTACTTGGGATTTGGCTGGTTCAAATTCCTATCTTCCATTCTTGACCCCAGAGGGAGATGTTGTTGACTGCTAGCTTTAGGGCTTGGGTGGTATCTTGTTGGATGGTGGGGGTGATTTTGGCATGCAGTGTAGTTTTGTCTGCGAATGAGGCTAGGTCAGCACCGGCTGGTAGGTGGTCCTCGCAGTCGTTCACGTATATGAGGAAGAGAGTCGGACCCAGAATACTGCCCTGGGGGACTCTAGCCTGAATTGGGAGCCTTAAGGATGTCTGGCCACAAATGACCATTTGATGGTAGCATTCAAAGAGGTAGCTGCTGAGCCACTGGTGCAGTTGCCCACGTAGGCCCTATACGTTGGACTTGTGTAGCACACCGGGGTGTGATACGCGATCAAACGCGCCGGCTATGTCAATGGCGAGTATGCGTGCTGCGCCTTTCTCCCCGGCTGTATGCAGCCACTGATGGTGGAGGCTGGAAAGGAGGTCGGCTACACGATGACCATGGCGAAATCCAAACTGTCTTTTGGAGAAGACGTTGTTCGACTCGAGGAAATTAGTTATTGTTCTGTTGATAATTGTCTCCATCACTTTGGACAGAATAAACAAGAGCAAAACTGGACAGTAATTGGAGGGTAGAAACTTTGATTTCCGTTTGAATAAAGGGACTATGTTGGCAATATTCCATGTTTTGGGCTGTATCCCAGTTTGGAAGCATCGTGTGAACAGTGTAGAAAAAGTTTGCGCCAGTTCAGCAGAACAGGTTTTCAACGCTCGTGCCGGTATCCCATCCGGCCCGGTTGCCTTTGATGGGTTGAACTGCCGAAGGGTGCGCTCGACAACAGCCACACGGAAACGTACATCCGAAAGAGCCTGTTAATTTCGAGGCTTGACATTATGGGAATGGGGCTGACAGGTCATCTTGGCCGAGACTGCATTTGCTTGCAAAATAGCGGGCCATGCATTCTCCTTTGTCTGCGCTGGCTGTGTACTCACGTCCACCGGGATCACGTATTGTCGGAACAGTTTGACTACACCCATTGCCAGAGGCACACTAGGCGGTGTGCCACCAGTCACTGGGTGGCAGCTGCTTTGTTTGTTTGTTATTTGTATTCTTTATTTAGAGTGGGAAGTCCAAAACAGGCCCTAGCCTAATAACAATGGTCCCACTAGTGAGGGAATGCTGTATATATGTGCATAAGGATCAGTGAGGGTAACAGCAACTAGTAGGGAAAGAAAAAGAGAGAATAAAAACAACTCAAAACAGGAGTTGTGATTTGCATAGGAAGAAAATAACGGAAATAGCAGTTCTTTGAGGTCATTGTCTGTCTCAGTTTCGCCATGAAAACACTCTTCGCAGTTTTGAGACAGGCAACCGTTGAGAGCCTAGCATCTTGGTAAGCTGACTGCCGATCGTCGTCAGACGGGTCATCTCTCAGGCATCTCCATGCACGTCATTTCCTCACTGTGGCAGCAGTGCACTCAGGGTCCACTATGGAGGATCGAATGCACGGGTTTTCAGGGTTTTAGAGGGTATGAATGTCTTCATTCCCGCCAGGATCCTCTCTGAGATGCCAGTGCATGACAGGTCTGGATCAGTTCGAGCAATAGCTGCCCAATTGGTGGTTCTGAGGAAGTGACGAAGCCTGGCCCAATCAGCATGCTGATACCTCCATACAGTTCATGATATGGGAAGCTCGCGTGACACACGGATCTGGAAGTCGGCAAGTAGACATGCATGGTCAGATTTGCCAAGAGGTGGCAAGACAGAAACCAATGATACTACGGGTAGGTCGGATATAATCAGGTCCAGTGTGTTGCAGCCGTGCGGTGGTTGATCGACTAGCTGTTCAACACCGTGCATGTAGCACATGTCCTCTGCATGCTCGACACCTCTAGTTGTTCTGCTACTGTGGCGCCACTCTTGGTTATGTACATTGAAGTCCTAGCAACTATCACAGCAGAGTTGCGGCAAAAATGGCACAAAACTGATAAGGAGTACTGAGATATACGGCGACCTGACTCCTAGCTCCAACACTTCTCCAAGGCGCACAAACCAACAACCTCCCAACTTGGAAGACTCAGGTTCGAAAAGGTCCAAGAGGGGAAGGAAAGCGCAATGAAGAAGAGCACGAGCTCCGCGCCACGGCAACAAAAATGCCAAACGTTACTGGATGATGACGAAACTAGTAAGACTATTGGACATACCGGTGTACTATAGTAGAATGACCCCCCAGCAGATGGACCCCCGGGCATTGTACTATATAGTAGAGTGACCCCGGGGGCAATCTACTATGGCCGGGGGGTCGTTCTACTATAATAGTAGATTGCCCCCTGTCATTCTACTACAGAATCCACCAGACTTGTCGTTTCGCACGTGCAGGTAGAAAGGGATGGAGTTTACACCACAGATTCCACGTGGACATTATGGATTGTGGCAAGAGTCCGGGGTTATGTACTCTTGATTGTGGGAATATGTGGTGAAAAGTCCACAACCTTTGTACATGGGTCGCGCACTTTTCCTCTTTAGGAGACATGAACATCCCACCTTGTGTTGGATTGTTTTTGTTTTGGAGTTGGAAGAAAGTTTGCAAGTTCAGTCTTCCTTTGCGTTTTCTGTGTGCTCCTTGCTCCTTTTGGATTATTCAGGAGTTCAGAAGTTCACGAACCTCTACTAAAATAGCGGCCGAGGGGGGTCGTTGTACTATATAGTAGAGTGACCCCGGGGGCAATCTACTATATAGTACAATGACCGGGGGGGGCCTTCCACTACGGGGGTCATTCTACTATAATATTATGACACCGGACACCGGCCTTACTACAACTCGACGACGTAACTAACCACCCAACTTGGGAGGCTCAAGTTCAGGTGATTGGTGTACGCAGGAGCACGTGACCGCTTGTTGAACAAGTGGTCACGTGCTCCTGGGTGCCCAATTCACCTGGTCACCACGCCAGCAGGCGACAACTTTCACACCAAGGTTCAACTCGAGTTCAACTAGAGTGACAGGACTGCACCCAAAAAAGGTCAAACAGGCTAGTAAGTTGTACCCTGCAGGCACGGTGACCAGGTGATTGGTGTACGCAGGAGCACGTGACCGCTTGTTCAACCATGTTCGATTGGGAATAAAGGAGGAACGCTGCATCGCAGCCTTTTCGGACCAAAACCAGTCGACTCAGCGTCCAAAAGACTACAACATATGGGCCAATCACGGTCATCCGTGCTTTCATTTTGCATACAAATCCCCATCTAGTAGGGCGCAGTCACCCAGTTTCGGTGGAAGACTACAACTGGTGAAATTTTAATTTTTGCCTTACCTTCCCCTTTAAAATAAGTTGGAGGAGGGGAGATACTTGCTCTTCAATGCACCAACTAAACAGGTGCAAGATGGAAATTTCCACGCGCTGTGATGGCTATAGGTGCTTAGAATGGGCGAGGAACATGAAAAGAAATGACCACGATGACACGACGTCAAGCGAGGCTATATGCAAGATACCACAACCGTAATTAGAAGGGCTGCAGACGGGTGCAAATGGCTGTCGTGCGTCATGTGGCTGCAAGTCACGTGACTCCGTACCCACCAAGCAGGAACTTGGCAGAGTGCCTGCACTTTGATACGAGCTTCGTTCGCTTGTTGAGGGAGGTGCTGCGATCGGATATGCTGATGTGATATTTCTCTGCGATACATAGGTTGCAACGCTTGTTGACATTGGTGTAAGCCCGTGCACGTTCCTTGATGGACCAGCCAATCTCATAGGCCTTGTTCTGGCGTTTTAGGCTCCAGACATACTTTGCCAGCTCCGTACTTGCTTCATACCGCTCGTGGCGCAGCGACGTCATATGATTTCCATACCTGGACTTGAAATCCGGTGCCGACATTCCAGTGTATGTCTTCAGGGCACTGTCCAACGTTACCTCGGCCTCATACACCACATTGGTCGACTTGCATTCACCTTTCAGTGGACAAGATGCGGCGACTCGGCAGTTCCAGGGGACTCTCTCGTGCTTTGGTTGCATCATTTTCTTGTTGTGGCCTTTGATCCGCGTTTCCATACTAGGCATGCAGCTATAGCCGACTTTCAAGGTGTTTCTGTTGAAGAGCTTTCGCAGTTTGGCGTTCTTGGAGAAATGCTTGCTTACTAGTGCGAGAAACTGGCCTCCGATGTTTGTCCTGACATTGGCGCTATACGGAGGATTGAACCAGATGATGTCTCGCCCGCATTTCCTCTTGCGACTTGACTGGGTGTTCACATCGTCGTACACGAGCACTCTGGGGTGGCCACTGGCAGCTAGCGCTTCGGCGTACTCAGGCACGGCTTCCTCAAAGACTTCCTTTGAGCTGGAAATCATCGCCAGACGCTTGTTGATGCCAACGGGTAAGCTCTTCAACACTTGCGGTGGGTGGTTGGACTT